GCATTCCAGACATGGAGGACAGCTAAAGAAAATGCCTAGAGTCAAGGAGTATCTTGTTCGAGGAGCAGCAAGGAAGTCATTGTTACTGGATTGAAGACTATGTGGAGGGGATGAGGGGCACGAAGTATAAGAACACCAGAAAGTTAGGGGAAGGGAGAGAGAGGCTATGAAGGATTTTCAATGCTAAAACAGAATATTTTATATATGATCTTGCAAATGATAGGGAGGCACAGAAGTTTATTGATTAGAGGGAGTGACATGGTCAGACCTGAACTTCAGAAAAATCACTTTAACAACTCAGTGGAAATGGGAATGGAGTAAAGAAAGACTCTTAGCATGCAGACCAAGTAGCAAGGTATTACAATAATTTGGGTGTGAGGAAATAAAGACATGCACCAAGGTGGGAGCAGCATCAGAGAGAGGGGAGCATATTCTAGAAATGTTGAAAAGTTGAAATCAACAGTCCACGGCAACAAATTGCATGACAGGGCCAGGAACAGGGTGGGGAGAAATAGCGAGGAGTTGAGGATGACACAAAGACTGTAGCCTTGAATATTGGAATGACTACAGTGCTCTTGGCAGTAATAGAAAAGTTTGGAAGGTAGGAGGTATTGGAGACAAAGACAATGTGCTCAGTTTGGAGCAGGTTGAGTTTAAGATGTCTACTGGACATCCAGTTTGAGATTTCTGAAAAACAATTATAGATGCAAGAGTGGAGATGAACTGAGAGGTTATGGATAGGTAATTAAATTTGAGAATCATTAGCATAACTGAATTTATGAGATTGCCAAGTAAAGTAGTATAGAGAAAAAAGTAGAGAACTCAGTAAGTATTTGAGACAGGTCCTCATGACCACCATATCCCAATTGTCTGTGATCCTCACAACTGCCCTAGAAAATTTTTACTATTATTATCCTCATTTTATTAAAGAGGAAACTGGAACTAAAGAATGTTAAGGAACTTCCCCATTACCATAGAGTTAAGTGTTACAAACAAGATTCGAGCCCGTCTTCTTGATCTCAGATGCTGCATGGTATCCAGAATGCCATGCTGCTCTCATGTCACAGAATATATATTTGATAAGTTAATTGAGTGTTAAATTTAAAGATAGGCAGATGTATGTTCAAATTCTGACTCAGTCACTTGCTATGTGTTTCTAGACAATTGATTTAACCTTTGTCTGACTCCACATATGTGGAGTGATGATAATAACAGCATCTGTCTCTTAAGGTTGTTGTGAGGATCAAATGAAATGATATATGAAAACAAGTGAAATAATACACAGAAAGTGCTTTACAGAATTAAAGCACTATATAAATGTGAGTGATTTATAGGAAGAGATCCCCTTTCTACTATTACTAAAGTAGAGAAAATAAAAAAATAGCAAAGTATTTTAATAAGAAGCCTCAATGGGTAAGATTTGTTGCTATTTTTAAATAAAAGTAAATATATAAAATTCAGATGCAGTAAAGATGCATTTTATCAGGTAGATTTATTTCATATAACACACAACCAATCATCCATCAGAATCATCACTGATATAATCATGCTGATATTTAAGTCTACAGAACTTAGAAACTAGTTTGTTGCATCCTTAATTTGGCCTATTGCTTTCAGATACATTGATCATAATCTATGCCTTGATTAATTAGCTACATTCATCTCAGGAAATTTTAGGACAGAAAATACCTTGATCCCTTTCGACATAAAAAGTGGTGGTAAGAAAACAGTAAGAATACCTAGTCCACTGTAGCATGGTAATTTAATAATTAAATACATTAAAAAATTAGTTCATTCCCTTGCTACCAGGAAAGAGAGGCATAGCCATTTTCAATTACACAATTTCAGCAAAGTGACAAGACAGGAACATACCTCTGCTATTGTGGGGAATTTCTCTACAACTGATAAGTATCATATCATTTTCACAGGGCAAATGCAGTTGCAAAATGTATATACCAGTGGAAAATAAAAGTGTTTAATTCTGAGTTCAGAGATCCAGGTGTTTAAATACATTTTTACCAAGTTCCATACATGTGATTTCAAAGACGTTCTAGGCAGCACCCTTTTCTTCAGAACCATGTTCTCCAAATGGATATCAAGTGATGACTGATTGTTGGTGCTCTTCACTATTCTACACTGTCAGTTCTGTGTGTCTAGGCATGTTACTCTAAGGTATTTAAATTCCCCAGACTCCAGTTTCTTGTTCTGTAAAATGGATATGAGTGCTTGTTCTGACTACCTCCAAAAATTTTTGTGTAGATAAAATATGTGAAAGTGCTTCCAAGTCTATGGAAGGAAAGCTATTCAAATAAAATCTATTATTTTACTATTCCATCTTTAGTGCAAATGGATCTAGGTTAAAGAGAAAAGGAGGAAAAATTTAAAAAGTACCCATGTCAAGACATTAACTATACAACTAAATTTATAGCATTTTATAAAGGCACAATATTTTACATTTATAGAAGTTAATCCACTAAGTAGATGATTCAGAGATATCTACATTTAATATCCAGCTGTAACTTTGAATTATAGTGGTAGGTTTCTGAAAAGATTAGGTTTTGTATACTCTTGGCTAAGTGTACAGGTGGTCAATGAAAAGAAGAACTAACCATTTAGATTCTCTAAAGATCAAAATATATAATTTAAGGTTCTCTTCCTCTACCCATCCTTTCCTTCCTTCCCCTCCTCCAAAAAAAAAGGGGGAAGAAAACTTTACATTGTTATGGAATTTATATGACTAAATGCAATCTCTTTTATCTCACTCTAACAGAATTTTATAGAATCAGAGTAGCATGAATGCCCTCAACATTTATCCCTGGCAAATGTTCATATAATCTTTGTTTAAATGTTTCAAGAAAGAAAAAAACTCAGTGCATTTCAAAGTAACCCATTTCATTTTTGGAGAACTTTAATTGTTAAAGTCGAATTTTTTCCCATTGTCTCAATCTGCTTTCCATAATGTCCAAGGTCCTAGTTCTGCCTTCTATCTTCTTTCCTCAATCTAGAATTTTTTGTTTCTCTATATTAGGGGTTCTTAAACATTTGGGTTTCTTACTCAATCTGTTTCCAAGACCTGTCAATTTTACTTTCATAGCACCTCTTGACTACACTCCCTTCTCTCTTCAGACACTGCCACCACCTTGGTGCAAGTCCTCATCACCTCATACGTGGACTTTTGAAATGATCTGGTGATTGGTTTCTCTTCCACAAATTTCTTCCCATTCTAGTCCATGCTCCATTCAGCTCTCAGTGATCTTCCAAAAATGCAGGTTTGACTATATCACACACAATACGTGCCTCTTACTCAGTAAACTCAAGTGGTTGCCTATCACCTCCAGAATCAAATATAAAATCCTCTGCTTGACATTTAAGTACCTTCTTAACCTGCTCCTATACCTTCTCACTTTTCCTACACCTTGTATTCCCCACCACATAGTCTTGAATCCAGTGATATTGGCCTCCTTGCTGTTGAAGAAGAACCTCCTCCCAATTTTGTGCATTTTCACTAGCTGTACACCATGCCTGGAATGTTCTCCCTCCTCATCTCTGCCTTTTGGCTTCCCTTGCTTCCTTCAAGGTCCAGCTAATATCCCAGCTTGTACAAGAAACCTTTCCAGTTTCCCTTATTTCCTTCCCTATGTTGACTATTTTCACTGTCCCGTACATAACTTATTTGTTCGTTACTTCTGTGTTGCCTACTGCATTAGAGGGTTTTTTTTTTCTTAGAGCAGGGACTGTCTTTTACATTTCTTATATCTATATCTATCTATCTATATATGTATGTATGTATATATAAAGATGTATAGATATGAATATAGATGTATGTGCTGAATTCCTTTGGCAATCTGGTAAAGCCTATGGAACTCTTCTAAGAATAATTTTTAAATGTATAAAATAAAATATGTAGGATTACAAACACAATTATATTGAAATACTGTTGTAAGTTCTTAAAAAATAAAAAAGGTCAAGGATCCTAAGTTGCTCTCCTATACTAGACTATTTTGTTTCATAAGCTAGTTTGCAGAAGGTAAGTACCTAATGCATTGTCCACATGGGTGTTTTATTTATGTGTCTTGAACTGAATTGAAGGTAAACTATCTCCACCTAATAAAAATGAAAAATATTTATTTTCTTTTATCTACAGATTGACTTTTTATCATTTTATTTTAGAGAAGTTACACTGTGGCAATCTAACCAACGAGATTTCTCTTCACCATATCAACCTTTCCCAAGACATTTCCACTACTTGTGGAAGGTCTCAATACATTTTTCTAGCTTTGACTGATGATGATCAGTCTGAAAATACGAAGTTGGCCTGCACTTTCTCCTCTTTGAGTGGAATGATCAGAATAAACTGTCTTCAAAGAACAAAATGAGCTGGATATTTGCCAATTCTCCACTCAGTAATGGGAAGATCTGAGCTGGGGCTGCTATTACAATAACAGAACACCATCTTAGATGAAAGCTCCGTGGCTGGGGGTTTGGCTTTTGCAAGTCTAGACACCAGCTGCTTCTTTGCAGAAAACAATGCTTACCTTGCAAATATGCATTAGCAATTAAGTGAGATAGGCTATTCCTATCATCCTATTCCTGTTCTCTTAAATTGCCCAGCACTAAATAGTCTCCTACATGTAGGTAAATGCAAGATACACTCCAGTCCTATGATTTGCTTAGTTGTTTTCTGTTTAAGATGAAAGAAGGTATAGCAGTAGATAGCAATAGAAGACTTATGTTTCATCTTTGTACAAAATATTAAATAGTGAGCCTCAGAATTGAACACTTAAGAAAAATTGATAAGAACTTTGAAAGGATATTCAAAATACTAGTTTTTCTACAATTTTTAAAGAATCTTCATGTTTATAGGTGAGTTGCTTAATGCTGCTGAGCCTCAGTTTCTTCATCTGTAAAACAGGAATTATAATATGTGTACTAGCTACCTCATGAAGTTGTTTCCATTTGTTTTGTAAACCTTAAAAAGTACTACATAATTATGAGTTGCCATGCTCATTTCAGCAGCACATACATCAAAATTAGAACACTAAAGAAAAGATTAAGTTGGCTCCTGTACAAAGATGACATATAAATATGTGAAGTGTCCTATATTTTTCATTCAAAGAGTTTGGTGTAGAAATACTTCTAACTTAACATGAAAATAGCTAAGGATGGGGGTGGGGAGGTAAGAAAGAAGATAATCCTGAGGAGGGAAGAAGCACAAACAAATCAAACTTCCTCATCCTCAAGAGAGAATTAAAGAGGGATGGAGAGGAAAATAAGTAGAAATGGGGAGAATATCCATCACTTGGGAATGGCTGGACAAATAGTGATATCTGAAAATAATAGAATACCATTGCACTGAAAAGAAATGACAAAAGAGAATTTCAGAGAATCCTGAGAAGTAGGAACATATGTGAAAGGAAAATGAATAAAAATAAGAAAACAATTTATAAAATGACAATAATACTGTAAAGAAAAACAACTTTGAAAGAATTGTAGATTCTGATAAAAGCAACAACAAGCCACCTTTCAGAAGAGTTTTTATTAACCATATTGCCTACTTCCTAACATGGCCACATTTGTATTCACTTTGCTTGACTGGGTATGTTTGTTACAAGGTTGTCATCATCATGGCTGTTGTTTTTCTTTCCTGTTATTAATGGTTGGGAAGGAAGGGGGGAGAAGAACTGAAAGTGATGGTGATGCCAAAAATTAAAGGAGAAAAGGAATAAAGAACAGAGTAATTGAAAAACATTCAAAAGTACACATTGAGTAAAGATTTAGAAGGAAACAGGCAACCAGAACAGTTTAAAAAATAGCAGTTTGTATTTATTATAAGCTTAAAAAAAAGCAAGAAGTCACAATAAGACAAGAAAAAGAAATTAAAAGAATAAAAATAAGAAATGAGAAAACAAAACTATTACTCTTTATAGATGATATGATGGTATACTTAGAGAACTATAGAGAACCAGCTTAGAAATGACATGAAACACTTAACAACTTTAATAAAGTTGCAAGATAGAAAACAAACTCACATAATCACCAGCATTTCTATATACTACCCACAAAACTTAACAGCAAGAAATAGAAAGAGAAATTCCATTTGCAATGACTGCATAAAATATAAAATACTTGGAAATCTACCTGCCAAGGCAAACCCAGAAACTATTTTTTTGTTGTTGTTTTTTTTTGCAAGGCAATTGGGGTTAAGTGATTTGCCCAGGGTCATACAGCTATTAAGTGTCAAATGTCTGAAGCCATCTTTGAACTTAGGTCCTCTTGACTCTAGGGCCAATGCTCTACCCATTGGACCATGCAGCTGCCCCATAAACCCAGGAACTATATAAACACACTTGCAAAACACTTTTCACACAATTTAAAATAGATCTAAATAATTAGAGAAATAAGAATTGCTCATGTGTAAGTTAAGTCAATGTAAAAAAAAATGACAATTCTATCTAAATTAACTTAGTGCCATAGCAATCAAACTAACAAATGAGTATTTTATAGAGTTAGAAAAGAAATAACCACAAAATTCATCTGTAAGGACAAAAGATCAAGAATATCAAGGGTATTGTTGAAAAAAATGTGAAGGAAAGTGGCCTAGCAGTACCAGATGTCAAACTACATTACAAAGTAGTAATCATCAAAACAATCTGGCACTGGCTAAGTAATAAAATAGCAGATCAGTGGAATAGATTAGTCACACAATGCAAAGCAGTAAATGATCATAGTAATCCAGTGTTTGAAAAACTCAAAGATCCAACCTTGGGGACAAGATCTAACTATCTGACAAAAATTACTGGGATTACTAAAAGCAGTTTGACAGAAACTTGGCATAGACCAACACTCACACTGTATACCAAGATAAGGTCAAAATACGTATATGATTTAGACATAAAGGGTGATATCATAAACAAATTAGAGAGATATGGAAAATTTTACCTGTCAGATCAATGGACAAGAGAAGAGTTTATGATCAAACAACAAATAGAGAGGATCACAGGAAGTATAATGCATAATTTTGATTACATAAAATTTAAAAGATTTTGTATAAACAAAACTAATGCAGCCAAAATTATAAGGAAAGCAGGAAACTGGGAGGGGGATAATAGCAAGCTTCCTGGTAATGGTCTAATTTCTCAAATACATATGGAACTGAGCCAAATTTATAAAAATAAGAGCCATTTCCCAGTTGACAAATGGTCAAGTGATATGAAAAAGTAGTTTTCAGAAGAAATCAAATCTATCTATAGTCACATGAAAAAATGCTCTAATCACTATTGACTAGATAAATAAAAATTAAACAATTCTAGGGTACTGCCTCACACTCAAAAGACTGGCTAGCACATCAGAAAAGGAACGTGACAAATATTGGAAGGGATATGAAACAGCAGAAACACTAATACACTGTTCGTGGATTTGTGAACTGGTCCAACTATTCCATAGAACAATTTGAAATTATACCCAAGGGGCTATCAAAGTATGCATATTTTTTGACCCAGCAACAACACTGTATCTATATCCCAAGGAGACCAAAGAAAGGGGACATATATGTACAAATATTTTACCATCTCTTTTTGTGGCAGCAAAGAATTGGAAACTGAGGGGATGCCCATTAATTGGGGAACAGCTAAACAAGTTGTTGTATATAATTGTGACAGAATACTATTCTTCAATAAGAAATGATGAACAGGTAGATTTCAGGAAAACTAGAAAGACTTGTACAAATTGATGTAAAGGGAAATGAGCAGAACCAAGAAAACATTGTACACAGTATCAGCATCATTGTGTGATGATCAACTATGAATAACTCAGCTTTCCTCAGCAATGTAATAATTCAAGACAAGTACAAAGGACTCACAAAGGAAAATGCTATCCATATCCAGATAAAGAACTGATGGACTCTGAATGCAAATCAAAGCATTTTTTTCCACTTTATCCTTTCTCACATTTTTTTTCCTTTTGATCTGTTTCTTTTTTTACAACTGCGACTAATATAGAAATATTTTTCTACATGATAGCACAGAAACTACATCAAACTGCCTACCATTTTCAGAAGAGGGGAGGGAAGGAGGGAGAAATATTTGGAATTCAAAATCTTATAAAATCAAATGCTAAAAATTTCCTTTACATAACTGAGGAAAAAATAAAATACAATTAAACTTTAAAAAAAGAAAAGAAAGAGTGATGAGAGGGATGATTTTAGAAAAATTTGGAAAGACCTTTATCAATTGATGCAAAATTAAGTGAGCAGAACCGGGAGATCATTGTACACAGCAACAACAATATCGTAGTAATGATCAATTGTGGTTGACTTAGCTATTCTCAGCAATACAATGATCCAAGACAATTCTGAAGAACTCATGATGAAAAATGCTATCCACCTCTGGAAGGAGAAATGATGAACTTTTTTTTCCCACATGGCAAATATGGAAATATGTTGTACATGACTTCATAGTATGACTGCTTGCCTTCTTAATGTGTGGGGAAGGGTCTGAAGGGAGAGAAAGAATCTGGGATTCATTTTTTTTAAATATTTAAAATAAATAAATTAGAAAAAAATTAAATGCAAAAATTATGGAATAATGATTCATGGTTTCACAGACAGTCCTATTGTCTGTTTTACTTTTTGTATAGAAATCCTCTTTTGTATTATTAAGTACAGAATTGAAAAAAAATAAAATAAAGATTCTTTTTAAATGAGTTGTCAGAAGAAGATAAAGAATTTTCCATTTTTGAGGGTGAAGTAGGTGATCTTTTGAGCCTGCCCTAAGAGAACTATATCTGAAGATTTAGGTTAAATAGTTTGGCAAAAACTGGACCCTATTAATCAGGACAGCTTATAAACAATTCTGGTGACCACAAGATCAAGCTTAATAACTGCTTGCTGATTGATTGATCACAACTGAATTTATCAATCAACCAAATAGTTTATATACTCTATTTGTTCATTCAATGATGCAGCAAACATTTATTAAATACTATATCAGTCAGTGTACACTGGGGATATAAATTTAAAAAAAAGTCAAAGAGCTAATTTTCTTTTACATTCACAGAATACACATTTCAGCATACTAGATGAATGAATGGTCATCTTGTTGGTTTTTGTTGTTGATCATCCTGGACCAAAGACATCAGGAGAGTGATGTCTTCACTTGCAAGTGAATTGGATTTAAGTGAGGCAGGGCTGGGCAAAGTCATCAGCTTCATTGTCTCTTCCACAGTCATCTGAGTCCAGAGGCAAGACATAGGTCAGGATGACTGGACGTGGACCCAGATACAGTGGGAGACATTTGGCTTTTTAAGCTAAGGTCCTTTTCAGGTCTCAGTTTGTACAAGGCAACTCCCATTCAGTGATTTAAGGCTAGGCAAGAAGAATTAAGGCAAAAGATGGCCTACTTTCCCTGCTCAAAAGAATCAGTCTGGGAGGGAAGACCCACAAGGTTTCTGGCCAGAATAGAAACAATTTTTATTTACACTTACTCTGAGCCATCAAAATCCAAAACAATACCCAAATGAGGCTTGGGCTGGGACCTATTACTGGCCAATCAGTGAGAGTCAATGATTTAGGTTTAAAGGCATAGTCTAGTAGCTCCATCAAATCATAGTCTAGTAGCTTTATCAAAGTCTGGTTTTCCAAAGTTCTATTTCAAGAAATAATGAATGAAACTACATGAGACAAAAGAGTTAATTGACCCAAGTTTTTTTGAGAAAAAATGATAGAATAAATAAGTAGGGAAGAAAAAAAAATCTAGCCCCCAAACCCCAAGATATCTTGGAAGGTTTAAGCAATCAAAATTTATATTCCTTTGAACAGAGCACTTACACATAAGGGTATAATTCCCCATGTAGACAGAGGGAGAGAAGAGGGAAGAAAGGAAGGAAGGAAGTAAAGAAGGAAGGAAGGAAGGGAAGGAGAGAGGAAAGAAGAGAGGAATGGAGGGAGGGAAGGAGGAAGGAAAAAGCAGCATTGCCCAACTGGAACTGGCCAGTTGGGTCCCCAGTGGGGCATCTACTACTACACACAGATTGCTGTTCATCCTTCGTTCTTGAGGAACAATGACATCAGGAGGGTGATGTCCTGGCTTTCAAGTGAATTGGATTTAAGTG